GAAGAACAACTCCCGGATATTTTCCAATGCTCCGTTGGCAATATCACTGCTGGTCAAACTGTTGTTATTAAAATCACATACGTAACCGAACTTAAGCATGATGCTGAATCTGAAAAAATTCGATTTGTTTTTCCTACTGCCATTGCTCCACGATACGGTTCATCGGGTTATTCTCCCGCAAATTATGGGAAAAAACTTATTCCTGATGAAGTATCTTATTCAGGAATGACTGTCTATTATTTAGATCTTAATATTACATGTAGAATGACTTCTATAATTCAAAACATCGAATCACCATCTCATCATATTTCGACTGAATTAAATATTGATGGTAATCCAAATGTTTCAAAAATTACTCTAGCTGAGCAAATTACTTATTTAGAAAAAGATTTTATACTTGTTGTTAAAAGTCTTGATCTCGATAAGCCAAGGTAATGATCCTTTAATGATACTTTTAATTTGATATTTATTTCTCAATTACTATAATTATGTTCCCCCCCTCACTCTAGGGCCTTTATTGAATATGACCCTAAGACAGAAACTAATTGCGTTATGCTAACTTTAGTACCAAAGTTTGCTATTAATGAAATAATGTCTGAATTAATTTTTGTGATTGATAGGTAATGTTCAAAAAATATAACTAATAACAATAAATATTAGCACACTATAATATTAATAATCGCTATGATAATAGGTCTGGTTCAATGGGTGGTGGACCTATTAAGAAAGCATCTGAGGCACTCCAATTGCTTCTTCGTTCATTACCCGAAGATTGTTTATTTAATGTGGTATCATTCGGATCACGCTTTGATTCTTTATTTGAAAAGAGTCAACCTTATTCTGAAACTAATTTCTCAAAAGCTCTCAACCATGTACAAGGAATGACTGCAAATTATGGAGGAACTGAAATTTATAATCCTCTAAAATGGGCCTTTGAAAACTCAAGGAATGATATGCCTACTTCTGTTTTCCTTCTTACTGATGGTCAGGTTCACAATGTTGATCGAATTGTAGAACTTATTAAATCTTGTGAAGAA